AGTTTATTGAAGAAATGTATATATGTGAAAGAAAGAGACTTGTAAACGAGTTATACCAGTAGACAGTATAAGGTTTCAAAGGTTGACGTAAGCGTTGCGGACAAATAAAAGTACCATCTACTGCAGGAAGATTTTCTTTATTTTTGCGGTAACTATGGGCTATTTCAAGCATAACTCTGAAAAGAAAAATGTCACTATGCGTGTTGAGCAAATCACAAATTACCTCCTAAAATGCAAGAATGTACATTGTGAGATATCATAGAGACTTTTTCAGCGACTTTGAGGTTTTGGCTCCTTAATAATGATGCAATCAAGTATTGATCACTCACTGTCACAGCAGGAATACGGTACATAGCTCAGCAGCACTAGTACACCGTCTCCATGGTAAATACACGAATTCAATAATTCTGAAATTCTAGAATTTGGATTCTATTCATTAGCAACTACAAACTTGTTATATTCCAGCTCTTTCGTAATTTTTTTACGGGAATTTGGTCCCTAGGGCGCATACTACGGTCTTATCGTAATCCTACAAAGTGAAGAGTGGGACCCGCTAATAGATACAGCTCAATGCCAGTTCCTTCATTTGGTACCTTAAAATGTGTGGGACAAAGAGACGAACTAATTATAGGTCAAATACGGGATAAGTACTGGTGAACCGTGGAGGGGAGGCAGGGGGGAGGACTCTTCGAGAATGGATCGCAAAATTTTCGTTACTTACATGAGTTATAAAAATGTGCAAGTAGCCTGCTCTTACTCGTAAAGTGAAATAATTATTGAATTTCTTGAAAAATCAAGATTAGCTCTTTTAAAAAAAATTTTGTGATGGAGCTGGCTGCCTCCAAGCCCCTTTTCCTAAAGGCGATTATAAGCCCGCAAATTCCGGGAATATTTGCAAAATTCGACTCAGTCTCCGGCATGGAAATCACATTTTGAACCCCAAACTGTTTATAACAAAGGCACCTTTGCAAAGCTGCAATCGAATCAACCACAAGATATCTTTTTCTGCTCTTATGACAGGCTCTCCATTTCATCAAAAACAAATGTCGATTACATGATTCCCTCATGGCGTGTTTGGCAAGGCTAGAAAAACTGTATAAACTTGAATATTACATTGTCATTTTTGATGCCTAGATTGCTGTTTAGACGCTATTTTGGTGCTCCATGTCAAGTCCTTTACGACGCGAGTTGGGCGAACCGCTCCGCTGCAGAGGATGCAAATGGCCCTTTATCTGCGTCAGTGACTCATGAATTCCAAGTGTTCCAGTTTAAGACAGTGAGGTCAAGTTTTTGAGACAATTAGAATGTGATTAATTCTTTGCTAACGGAAATCAAAGAGAATGTTTACAAATAATGGGCAAATTATCCAAAAATTCAGGGGCATCAATCTCGCTAAGCAATTACAGTCACGAGTCATTGCTGCAAGAAGGGAAAGCAGGTGATCTGATAGAAGGTGAAGAGAAAAGCAAACAAAATAAAAAACAAAAACATTACAAAAAATAAATATTAAAGAATACTCTGCAAAGTTACAGTTTGCAGCCAATGATTCATTGGCGCACGAGGAAGCACAAAAAGCTTGACTGCCCCTAAAACTTCAAGCAAGAAAGGTCCGATTACGATGGCTCAGATGATAAATGATGCAATAAAAAAAAGTTCGATTAGGGGACTATCGAATAACGATGACGATAACGCAAAGAAGATTTATCTTCAGCGTCCAAGAGGCTGGTCGAACGAGTTTATGCCCGAGCCTGATGGAAGGAACACACACATCTACAGTTGTGTAGAGCGCATGATTGATAATGTTCTTACACGGCCGAATGAACTTGGTTTTTCTGTTCCGAAAGGATAATCGATGTCTATTGAGGTTGGATTCCCACTTGTCCTTCCTTATGAATAGGAGTACGCTAGAGAAGAATTCTGCACACAATTTGCAAACAAATTGCAGAATGAGAAAGGAGGAGCGCAATTATTTGCACATTTTCCACTGCGAAAAAAGTAGTATTTGCATGGTGATATCATCCGACTCAAAATATGCGCTTTGGGCCTATGTGAAGTGTCCTGACTGCAAAAGTAGTGATACGCCGCATAAGTCGCGCAAGAGTGCCACGCAAGTCGCGACTGAGTGCTGCGCAAGTCGCGCACATTAAATCTACGCAAAAGTGCTAACAGTATATTCTAGATATATTCAATCATTTTCAGGCGAACAGCTTCGTTTGGAAATTTAAATCTATCTTGACATTAGGCTTTGAGATTACACCTACAAACTGAGTTTCAAAAAACTGAGTTTCAAAACAGTAAATCTCATCTGGAGTATGGTATTAAAAAAGGTTGCGCAGAAGTTGATAGCTGAAATCAACGTGGCGCGACTAGCGCAGCACTTTTGCAACAATTCTTAGCAAACAGTTTGTTGAAGGTGTGCAACATGGCCAGGGATGGTGAAACAACAAGAGTGCAAGCATCGGTGGTTCAGTGGTAGAATGCTCGCCTGCCACGCGGGCGGCCCGGGTTCGATTCCCGGCCGATGCAAGTTTTGCTTGTGTGAGGAAACTGTAATTTAAGCATATGTGCAGCTACACTGATTTCATGTTGATTTTTACGCATGGATTTTACTGTATTTTACTGGGTGTTTGGTTTAAGGGCCTTAGGTTCTTTGATTATTGGTAGAGTTACATTGATGTTAATCAAAACAAGATATACGATGATTCATGATTTCTTTTCACATTTACTTTAGATCAACCAGTTTCAGGCATGCTTAAGGTAAACAGAAATTTTAGAGCCGGAAATTGTTCCACAGTTTAAACACCATAAGCCCCGAAAAAATAGACTCAAGCAAGGAATACACGAGACGAGACTGTTCCACAATAGAAATGAGTACAAATCGAAGACTTTGAAAAATTGGCGTGACGCGAAGTGAGTCGAGGTCAGTATGGTCACACACTGGCCGAGAGTACATCTTCCAGCGCCTCTCGCGTAACGGTTCAACCGTCAACCGCCTTCGATTCGCGCGCGCGACCTTGACGTGCCTGTGGTGGTGGGAAAGTGGGAACGGGAACAGAGCTGATGGCGACGACGATGCGGGTGATGGTGGTGGATCTTGACCTAAGTAGTTGCTGGCCCCGTTTTCAACGGGTTTTAATGCACTCGACAATGATTTTAAGATTATAGTGACTTTACATACTTGTTGTTCTGCCTATCAGTTTAAATTACTAAATTCACAGCTTTGTTTGCTAAGTGTTATCATTAGAAAATCGACTTGCAAGTTTGATTGATGCGGAATGGGTTTATCAAAGTTTCATTCGACATATAAAAGAAGAATAATTTTATCCACGATATGGCTGAACTATGTGGAAGCTGCTTCTCTTTGATAAAAATAAAACTGAAGTGTAGGGTTGGTTGAAAAATTATGTCGGATGTGAAAGCTGCTTATGGTACTTCCCCCTAGATCAAAAGGAGAATCTCTATAAGAGTTACAAGAAGTGCTAGATGTCAAGGTGTTTTGAGTGAAGAGCGAAGAGTTGAAGTTTTGCTACGCTTTTCTCAGTCCAGAAGGTCCCACATATTCTCAAAAAATTATGCTTTCATACAGTTAGAATAATTTATGTATTGTTTGTAATGGGTGGAACTAAAAGGACGGTCATGCTAGCATTTATTCAATCAAATAAATGATGTTAACGAATTAATGACTGCAAAGGTAGGCTTATGATAGAAACATCCATGGACATTGATTGAACTTTCTAGGGAACTATGTCAGCAGTAGGGCATTAATTTAATTTTTAAGGCTGGCTCTAAGATAGAATCGGTTCTAAGTGCGACTAGCAGAATTTGCTAGAAAATTTGTATAAAAAACTGGTTTGATTGCAAATAGATGGCGGCGCGAAATCCATCGGATCGAACAGTAGATTAGACCATTTAATCTGCATTTCATAGATTGTAGCGTACTAGCATTGAAAAAGTTTCAAAAGAATGGAATTTTGTATCAAAATGGAGGTTTAAAGATAGAATAAGTTACAAAGAGTAATCAAACATCTTGGTACATTCAAAAATTTTTAGGTGATCTTTGCAGAAATCAAATTTGTTTTAAAAAAGAAACATGGATGACATAAGGCAACATCGCATTGTTAGGAATTTATGTTCCATTGACAAATACACAAGAGTGCAAATATAGTGCTGAATAATTATTTTGATTATCTATTCTGGTTATTTATACAGGGCGTTCCAAAAGTACGTATGGACTGTTCGCTCGTAAACAACCCTCCTGCTTCTATTGCACGAAACTTTGGTTTCGAATTGATAGAGCTTGTTACAGCCTAGTAATTTACACCTCATGCTATTCCTTAATGCAGAAATAGTTGAGAACTCAGAATTGGCTACGCGACAATAAATGACATTTTTTATTTGAAAAAATCTCAAAAACAATCAGAATTTCTACTTTGTGCTCCATATTTTTGTACACTTATGCAAAAAATACAAAAGCGTGTGCGTAGAAACACCTTCACACAAGCTTCGCGATTTTTAAAAAATTTCCGAAATTTCAATATGCGACTGAGTTACAGGAGTAATGAGTGCGGAGTTTCTAACGTGATAGTACAGCTAAAAAAAGCAACCATTGATTTTCCTAATGTTTTGGATCGGAAAAGCCAGTTTTCCGAATGATGCCTGAAAATCCGCAAAATGCGTTGATTCAAAGAGCTTTTTAGCGATCAAGCAACGAATATCCTTTAATTCAACGAGACTGTAGGCTGGAAGGCGAGCACTCGCGTCCGCGACGCAGTGTGCATCTCCCTCGCGAACGTGCTCTCTGATCGTTTTCTAGCATTAATTAGGTCGCGAAGCCCCGCCTTCCAGCCCCCAATCCAGTTGAATCAAAGAGTACATAATGGGCACTTTTGAGACACCCTTATTTAGATTATACTGCGAACCATCATATCATTATCCAATCCAAACATCACAATCTTTTCAATCGACTGTAATGCTTTGAATGATTCATTTCAAGTTTTGTAATGCCAGAAAAGGTTTGCTCATTTGATGCCATTACATTCAGCAATTAAACACCTTGTACTAAGGTAATCGACATCTCTGCTCTGTATCCTGAAAAAGTCGAAGTAAAAGAATGCCATGGAAGAAATGAGGAAGTAATGGAGCTTCTACCTATACATTCTTATTTATCATTGGGTCATATTGAGGTCAATCGAGACGATTTGCTAAATGTAGATGATAAGAATTGGAATACTATTGTATGCAGAAGATGTGGCTCAGTGATATTCCCAGAGGATCGTGTAAAGTATGTGGAAGGTGCGGAACTTTGGAAACAAGTATAGAGCTCAATATACAGCTGCTTTCAGACTACACAACAGAAATGCCTGAAATGACCCCTGATGGCAAGGGAGGGCCAGTAAAGGAAAAAGTCTCTTGGTGGTGGCATACAAAAAATGATAAAGATTTCGATACAATTGGATTCTTTTTCGATATCATCGATCAGAAGCAGGTTAGCATCTACGAAAAAAGACAGAGGACTATATGTCGCCAAAAGGAGGTGGTCTTATGCGAACATTTGCGGTAAAGTACGCAGCTCCACCCATTACAGGGACTACGGATTTGTACCAGCTGTCCGCGCGGGGTGGAGCCTATTGGCGACATATAGTCCCCTAACCACGAAGATCTATACGAATTTAGAAGAGTACTAATTTGCAGACCTTGCTCTGCGGTGATTGCGAATTCGGGCCATTAGGATTGCGAACAATGGATGACAAAGAGTTTTGGGTGGCTGTCGAACGAGTTCGCTATGTAGATAAGCCAAGGAAAGATCCAAAAGCAAGACCAAAGAAAGCCAAGAAGCAGAAGACTTGAAAGCACTTCAAATTGCGCTGAGATTGTAAAAAAGCTAGAGATGAAATGAACATTAAGAAGCTAACGTTTGTTACAGGCGGATCATTTGCAAAATAGTTAACATTTGAATTTGAATAGAAAGCTTTGGCCAAATAGCGACACTATATCAGCTACCTTGTGAAACGGGGTGTCCTAAAAAAATATGAACACTGTTTAACCGTTGATAACTCTCTTGCTTTCATTTCTTTCGCCGAGCTTGGTACCATCCTGTAGAGCGAGTTTCACTCAAGTTTACGGTAGGGAACGAGTTATCAATTCCTCTTCATTACTGTAGGACTACGGTATAAACTTTCTGCAGCATAAAACGCCAGAATGAGATAAGCCTTTTAATAAAAAAAAATTTCAAAAAATCTGGAAATTACTGCAGCAAGATTTTCAGGCGTGCTAATTTCAATACATAACCTCTCACTAGTTTTTCGAACTTTTTTATTTTTGTAGTCACATTTCTGACAAGCAGAGGAAAAACAGTTGTTACTTCGAACGTGAAACAACTTACGAAAGAAGCATTACAGTGAAGTGAAATTTCGTACAGACGAGTGATTTGCTAGCTGATTTTCGGCTACATGGCGATCCATACTGCAGGCTGTGATCTGCTGTGTATTTCTGCAGCCAGAGTTGTGAGAATTTCTAGGTATCTGGAGATTTCGAATAATATTCGACGGTCGAATATTCGAAAATTTTCATTTTCGAATATTATTCGAAAGTCGAATATTCGAAATTCTCAACTTACGAATATTATTCGATAGTCGAATATTCGATGGTCATTATCGATCATTCGGCGTCCATGGAATATTCGAGTACTCGATGAGCACCGAATATTCGAAAATTCGACAAGAATTGACTATTCGAAAATTCGAAGCATCGAATATTCGCCAAGGGTATGTACAAACTGTTCAATCGCTAATACCTCTCACGAAGTCTTTTGCCAACCTTTGAGTAACATCCTGTAGGGATGGCTTAAATACAGCAGAAAACAAATCATGTTTTTCTTGTTGTGTTACACGGTATGAACTTAGCATATAGAGCAACTGCGAAATGAGACATCCAAAAGAGTTTCTCCAACAAAAAAGAGATTTCAAATCTATGTAGCAGGATTTTACGTATGTTTAACTACGCACGGGCTTTTGACCTTTTAAATGTGCATTCTCTTTTTTGAAAAGCGTTGGAAAACATCTGTTATGGTGTACCTGGCATAAGTTGCAAAAGGCGTTACGGTTGAGTGCAAATTCTTCATATAGTGAGTGTCTTTAGAAGCCTAGTGTAAGATCGGCCTTTTTGTTTCTTATTCTTGGGAAAACGGCTCTTGATATCTCAAAACCCTCCTCAGTTTCCCTACGGTAATTTACAACAGTGAAAAGCGATCGATACATCGCTTCATACTGTAAGTCTAGGTTGATGTCAGCCCACAGATTCACATACTGTTGGGACCCCTGTATGTCAGTCCACAACTCTCAATGAGGATAAATAATCTTCTTTGATTTTTGAAATTCCTTTACAACCGTCACATACGCTTTTAGGTTCTTAAAGGCAGTGTCCCAAAAGATGGGTCCGGGAATTTGTGGCGCTGTTAAATTGGAACCCCTACCTAAGCGGTGACGAAGTTCGGAGCGAAAAAGAGGGTCTGGTAAGCTTGAAAATTACTCCCAAAGTAGCCCGTCTTACGGCAGACCCGAATGCAGCCCGTACAGCGAATTCGAACTGCAAGGCCAGAGAACTATAGCGCAAAAGCTATAGCGCACATAGTCATGAATGCAGGGTCCCGCAACGACTCCGCGTCTCTACCCTGCATGCATCTCGTACTCACGAGCCTACCGTAAGATCCGGGCCACTTACAGGGCAAATTTTAGGCCTGGTAGCCCCCTTTTTCGCTTTTTTCTCCCCCAAACATCAGTCATCGCTTAGGTGAGGGGACTACTTTAACATCGCCACAATCCGGCACCCATTTTCTTTTTTTTGCAACTGAAACGTTTTTTCGTTGTAAACTGAAACATAGAAAAATGTCTATACCTGAAAAAATTTATTCCGAGATGTTTTGGTCTCTCACAGGTAGTCTCACTGAAATAATTTATTCGCATAGTACTCGAAAATCGAATGATATTTGAAAATCGAATATTATTCGAGAACCGAGTAATATTCGAAATTCGAATATCGAATGGTATTCGATATTCGAATATTATTCGATTCGAAAACTTCCATTTTCGAATAATATTCGGTAGTCGAATATTCGAAGTTTTCAATTCTCGAATAATATTTGATAGTCGAATATTCGAGAATTTTGATTTTCGAATATTATTCAATATTCAAATATTCGAAAAAAATTTCGAATTTCTCAAAGTGTAGTGCATACTATTCGTGCACTTTGAAACCAGTTTTGGTCTGTTTTTTGGAGCATGATTTTTCGGAAATTTGAGAAAAAATCTGGCTTTTTTTTGCTCTCCTGCACCTTTCGCTATCAAATGAATATTCTAGCAAACAAAGTTGACCGTCCGATTCTTTTTGACATACTCTTTCAAATGGTACCATACACTTATATACAAATCTATTTGTTACATTTCTACAAACCGTTAAAAACGACCAAAGTTATCTTTCAGCCAACCTATTATTTTTCAAAACCGCTTACTGTTAGATCTTCAAGTGTACCCTGTCCCTGGTTTTGATCTCCTATACGGCTTCGTTCACTCCGTGCTTCCGTACCTTATAAAATCGACGAAGCGTACAGATTTTCCTTCTCTATTCCCTTGAAATCCACAATCAGAAACTCTCCGAAAGTATGTGTATTATTGCTGAGATTTGTGCTACATAATGCTTAACGGGATGTATTGGGTTGGAAGCAAAGTTTTGCAACTCATTCAGTAACTCTCGTCTCTCTCAACATGACGCACTCAAATTTTGCCATTGTGTCGGTAACGACGTAAGTTACAAGCCTAGCTGCTGTTGTGCGAAATTCCGATGTAGCAGTGAAAGTTTGTAGGTATATAGTAAGAGTTGGGCCCATTGTATGTAACAGTTATTAGCATTGATAAAAAGTAGCGGTTGATGAAGGGATCTGGAGATGAGCGTACCGCTCCGCAGCGAAGGTCTCGAGGTCCTCGCCCTGTGTCTCTTATGTCCCTTTTTACATCGGTCAGCAACCGTTATCAGATCGTTCTCAGCTATGCTGATTGAAGAAATCTGTCAACATCTGCGTAAGCCACCGTGGGATCTCGCTCCCTCTTACAATATGGTATGAGGAGGAAAAATTATAAAATTTGACAGATTTGGTTAAAACTAGACATGGAGGAGGAGGGAGGTATCTGACACGCTGATCACCAAAACGATAATGAAGATGCGTTATGCAAAGTTATAAAAAGAAGCTGCAAAAGGGGAACCATACTGTTCTGGAGAGCATTGCACGGTGATTCCAAATCTGCCTTCACTATCTCCAAGCACCTCTGGACGCAGAGTTATGGGCTTTTTTTCGTAAAAAACTGAACGCAAAAATGGGACAAAATTGTCCAAATTTGCTCAAATGTAATGTCCATTGTCAAGTACCATAGCCGCTTATGCAATGGATACATTTTGTCTAATATGCTAACACTTGACATTGCTTTATCTGAGCGTCGGAAAGGTCCCAACAAATCAATTTTACCTGAATTCTGCATTCATTTTTCGTCCCAGAAAACGGTCATAACCCTGCGTCTAGAGGCGCATGGTAGATAGCGAGGGCAGATTTGGAGCCATCCTGCAATGCTCTTCAATGTTGTATGGGTTTCATTTGAAAACGTCACTTCGATGCAAAGCTTTTCTTGTTGGTTTCCAGCCTAATAAATTCAAGGAACTGACCAGTCTTGTAATCTATGTAAGTTGCTTGAAAATCACTAGCGCATCAGAAAAAATCGTACAAGATTGTGGAACTCTACACAGCAAAACTGAGCCTAATACATTATTCAAATTGAGAAATGTTCCTGATTTCCTGCAGCGAAAGAACACAAACAATGCATTTTCTTACCTCTCAAAGAGAGTGAAAGAACTGGATGCTTCCAATTTTTTGGCAGAACGGTCCAAGAGACTTATTGTGAGAAAAATCGCGTCGCAAAGTCTGCACTAGCGACGGGAGATATGTCGCAAGCCACCTCCGTTTCTTCAAAGTGAATTCGCAATCTTTTTTTCATATCATGGCTGGTGCACACCAAGGTTAGGGTTGGGCCAGACTGCGCGGCATACGCGACATACGCAGCGTACGCCGCGTATGCTCCTATGATGAAATATACCGAGCGTACGCTGCGTACGCCGCTTCCCCGCGAAGTCTGGCTCAACCCTTAGTACTAAATTGCCTTTTGCTTCTGCTCTTACGTCTTTCCGCGGACAACTGTGGAACTGTCACCATCTCTTTTCTAATGCGCATTGAATTTTTCACTTTATTTACATCCACCGCTTGCATGCAGCGAAAGCTTCTTCTTCCAGCACAATCCCTCTTTTAAATGCGTCGCATATTACTCAGTTTGTTGCTTCTACCCGCTAAGCCAGAACTGAAATTGCGATGTGATTTTTATCGTGGCCGTATTCTTCACGTATTTAGTCGTAGTATCGATGTGTTGTGCACAAACCTCTGAAGTAATTTCAACGTTTGGCAGCGAAGTGGCAGCATGGCTCCCCGAAATTCGTTTCCGATGGTGACGATGGTGACGAAGGTAAATCCCACGAATATATACGTTTGAAATTCAACAAATTCCGGCAACTGCTCCTCCGTCTTCAATGTCGACTTCATCATATGGACTCGCACAGATATTCAATCGAACTCATGCACAGACTCGTAATTTGTATACGGTATTTGTATGAATATCATCATTGCGAAATCATCGAATTTCAGAGGTATCTCGCGCGCGGAAGAAGCTTACATTCAACAGCTCACGAATTCCATCCGGGACGTTCAACGGTGACGAAAATCGTCAACAAAGTGTGCCAAGTCATATCAGATAACT